GGCCTGGGTGTTAGTGGCTACCTGCAATGCTTGGAGATTGGGCACAAGACCAAGGCTGAGAGACAGAACTCAGAGACTAGTATGGGGGGCAGGGTGAGACTGGAATGGGGCGCTTAATGAGACTGGAACAGTCACGTGGGGAGAATGGAATAAACTGCAACTGGTCACCAACCAGCCCAGCAACCCTGTTCGCTCCTTTATGTGTCCGCTTGTGGTGGCTGCAGGCCAGGGTGGGGAAGCGGCTCATGGCCACTGAACGGTGGCAGGCAAGAGAGCCACCTATGCTGATCATTTATTTATTTGCGATTACACGAACAGGAACATTTCTCAATTTAAAAACTCAAGAACTGGGGCTGGAGCCATAGCACAGTGGGTAGGGCATTTGCCTTGCACGCGGTCGACCTGGGTTCGATTCCCAGCATCCCATATGGTCCCCAAGCACTGCCAGGAGTAATTCCTGAGTGCATGAGCCAGGAGTAACCTCTGAGCATCGCCGGGTGTGACCCAAAAAGAAAAAATAAAGAACTGAGCTTTCATATGACCCAGCAATTTCACTTCTCAGTGATGTCGGTGGGCCCCACGGGTGATTTATGTGAAGTGGGGAGGAGGAAGATGGTCACTTTCTCCCCATCCACCTCTGCAACCCGGGACCCAGGGTTACTGGGTTTTTGTGCCTCGCAGAAAGAAATTTCAGGAGTAGGCAGTGAATAAGTAGATTTTATTTGGAGGGTCTTTAAGGTGTAGAGGGAGGGAGGGAGGGAAGGAGGAAGAGAGAGAGAGAAAGAGAGAGAGAGAGAGAGAGAAAGAGAGAGAGAGAGAGAGAAAAATGCACTCAAGAGAAAACACGGGCTTCTCCAAGGGCAGAGAGAGTCCCTACATGCATTCTAGCATTAGACACAAAAGCATTAAAGTACACATCTCAAGAGGGCAGATGCGGGAAACATGTGCTCGGGCGCCACATGTGCTTGGCCACTTGGGCACAAGCAGCACATGAGCTTGGGCAGCATATGTGCTTCCTTTGTTCAAGGTGGCCTTTATAGTGTTTCTCCAACCTGCCCCCATGCAGGGCTTCTTCCCAGATAAAAGTCTGTTGCTAAGGAGGTTACCAGGGAAGTTGGGAGTGGTGATGGTCTTCTTCGGGCTGAATCACTAAAGTTAATCAGATTATTAAGGGAGAGGTACAAGGGAATTTGAGGAATTTCCTTCATGGGAAGGGGTCCAATCTCCTCAGGGTCCGCTGCTCAGCTGCTCAAGGTCTTGTCTGTATCCACAAAGTGGATCAGCCTTGGAATTTTCCTCCCAGGAGTTTTGCTGACCTGTTTTACATCATCAGTATCTGCCCCAGGGTCGCCAAACACTGTTTCAAAAAGACATATAAATACCCCTAAGTTTTATTGCAGCACTATTCACAATAGCAAAAGTCTGATAACTCAACTGCCCAAGAACAGATAACTGGATGAAGATATTGTGGTATGTATACAAAATAGAATACTTGTTGGCAAAAAGCTAAAATTTGCAAATTGTTACCACATGTATGCTGAGTACAGTCAGAATAAGAAGGAAAGATACAGAATGATCTTCCCTCATCTGTAGGAAATAAAAAAATATAGTAAGAGAACAATGAATGGTCAAAGGAAACAGAAGTAGAGATTTGTTCCATAAAACTGAGCTTACTTTGAGGGGGAGGGAGTGGCTATGAGGGCTCTCTAGGACACTGATGGAAGAAATAGGTACTCTGGAGATGGATGCAGTGCTGGAACAATGAACACATGGAGCTACTATTTTCAGTATTGTTGGATAATTAAGCCAAAGTGTTTTAGGCTTCATCAGTGAATAGCCCCTTTTCCTCCTCCCAGAGATTCTTATCTTACTCTTTCTAGCATCCTTAATTTGTTAAAATTTTTCCTTGCCTGGCAAGCTACCCTGGCAAGCTATTTGGTATCCAATATGCCAAACACAGTAACAAAAAGTCTCATGATGGAGACGTTACTGGGCCCGCTCAAGCAAATCGATGAACAATGGGAGGACCGTGACTGTGATTTTACCTCAATGTCATAGTTCCCCAAGTCAGTCTTGATTAGTTATAAGCCAAAACCTTCTGTTAATTCTGAACTTTGTATTTGTAGTGCTTTGCATTTGAAGTGCTGTGTATTTGTACCTGCTTTTCTATTTCCCCTATAGCCTTTTTATATTTTATTATAGAGCAATGTTCTTTGGTTAAACACAGAGACAGTTAATGCTATGCTCCTAATATTTGGGAGTTGATTTGATGTCGGTGGGCCCCACGGGTGACTTATGTGAAGTGGGGAGGAGAAAGACAGCCACTTTCTCCTCACCCGCCTCTGCCACCCGGAACCCTGGGTAGGCTAGGACCGGTAAAGTCTGCAGTGAGCACCTGCTCGGCACGGGCCTGAGCCCCGCCAGCCCCACGAGGTGGCCGTCAAGCCACACCTGAAGTCCGCTTGATCTTCTCGGCACGGGAGTTAATCCCCGCCACCCGATTGCTCGGGGAGCCACGGACTCAAGCTGGGGCGAGAATTTGCTCTTCGCAGGAAAGGAGAGATCAGTCCCAAGCCTTACCCGAGGTCTCTGGGGTTCTTGTCTCGCTCGCAGAAAAGAATTTCAGGAGTAGACGAGCAGTGAAGTAACAGGTTTTATTTGGAGGCTTTTGGAGAGGGAGAGGAAGGGATAGGCAGATAAGTGGGGGAATGGAGAGTAAGAGAGAGAGTAACGCGTCCAGAGGGAACGCGGGCTTCTCCGAGGGTGGAGAGAGCGCCAAGTGGGCTCTCGAGCTGGTTCTTATAGATCCTTCTGACTCAGAAAGTTCTGGAATCTCCTTGGGGCTGAGTCGCTGGAGTCAACCGGATTGAAAGGGGGTTCGAGAATCATCTGACTTGGAATGTCCTGGAATCTCCTTGGGGCTGGGTCGCTGGAGTCAACCGGATAGAAAGCGGGTTCGAGAGTCATCTGACTTGGAATGTCCTGGGATCTCCTTGGGGCTGGGTCGCTGGAGTCAACCGGATAGAAAGCGGGTTCGAGAGTCATCTGACTTGGAATGTCCTGGAATCACCTTGGGGCTGGGTCGCTGGAGTCAACCGGATTGAAAGGGGGGTTCTTGGAAAGGAGGAATTTCATGAGGAGGAGGCCCATATCTTCAGGGTCTGGGGATGGTCTTATCAAGTCCTTATTCTCTGTCTCCACAGGGTGGGTTGGTCCTAGAATTCTTCTATGAGACTTTGTTTCATTGCAGAGAGCCTTTCCCTATCTACCTGCCTACATCAGATTGACTCTGAAATATATCTCTTCTTGGACATTGGTCATAATTACTTGACTCAGGCTTCAGTTGCTGTAGTTCCTAACACACCAAACGGGAAGTCCTGCCATGGGACTGGAATGGACCCTAGTGACTGGCAAAGCTACCCAGCATCGAAGGGGGACAGTCTAGAAAGTATAAATGATTCAAACTGTAATGACTTAAGAGACAAAACCCCCATGGGGAAGGACAAGCTGAACTGGTCTGAGGAGACTTAGTCTGGGATTTACAGTACAAACCCTGCTTGTTCTCACCAGCCCAGAGAACTAGTTAAAAGACTTGCTTGCTCTCAGATTCCAGAGAACTAAGTGTTGGGAACTGCAAGTATTGATAACCTACACAACTAGAGGAAAAGATAAAAGCAATGTAGATGTCCATCTCCCCAAGAGACTTTCCTATGTTTTATCTATGTAAATTTCCAGATGTTTTATCTATGTAAATGATTAATCACACCTATATCCCCCCCTCAGATGTTCTACAAGTATGCTAACAGCTCTGCATAAAACTGAATGGGCCATTTTAACCATCTGGCTGTGGTCCTCTCTTTCCCCACCCCCCATTTCTCTTTCTTTCTGTCTCTGCTGGGGAGGCCTCAAGAGGAGGGGAGGCAGCTCTCTGGGTCACCTAATGCAGCACTAAATGCAGCACAGTCTCAGCACCCACCCACCATTATTTTGTGAATTCACAAGTATTGTAGATCACCATTCCTCAATAAAAATGGGAAGGGTTGGCCTTTAGTATACTATGGGCAATTTTTTTTCTAATCATAGGACGAATTATCCCCAAGAAGTGGGATAAGGAACAATAATCCTGACAACATACAACACACCCCTCTATTCTGCAGCCTAGGGTGCTTCTCTAAGGGCTGGAGGGATAGCACAGCAGGTAAGGCATTTGCCTTGCACAGGGCCGACATGGCCGACCCAGGTTTGATTCCTCCGCCCCTCTCAGAGAGCCTGGCAAGCTACCCAGAGTCTCTTGCCCGCACAGCAAAGCCTGGCAAGTTCCCTGCAATGTATTCGATATGCCAGAAAGAGTAACAACAAGTCTCACAATTTGTTGTGAGACGTTACTTGTGCCTGCTCGAGCAAATCGATGAACAACGGGAGGACAGTGCTATACAGTGCTAGGGTGCTTCTCTGAGAGGTAGGGGCAGAGAGGATCACAAAATGTGGTGCCTAGACCAGCACCAGCATCACCCGGGGTCCAAGGGTAAATGCAGATCTTGGATTTCAGGAGCTGTTCTGAGTTAGACCCTGGGATAGAACTTCGCTCCTGAGCCTGTTGCCATTCAAAAGGAAAATACTGACTTCGCCCAGTGATGACTGTGTGTGCCAGACCTAGAATGTGCTATATATGTAGCAACAAAGGAAGGTTTCTGGAAGGATTCATTCAGTATCAATTACTGGTTGATAGAATTCAATCACATTCACTGTTTTAAATATTCCTATTCCTACAAAGTAAAAAAAAAGCATGATATTGTTCCCCAGAAGCTGCACAGGGGTTGGCATAGGGGCTCTGTGGACAGTCACTCTAAAGAGTGAAAACTCCCCTCATGGCCACCACATGACTCACACCCTACCCACACCCACACACACAAGCATACACGCACACTCGTAACACTGATTGCCATGTGAAGAAGAAATGAGGCCAAAATGTACACTGGATAACTAATCACTCTTTATTGATGGCAATTTAAAGAACTTTTCTATATACATGACTCACTAGCTTACAAGATGAATTATTCAGGTAGGTGAAGTCTCTTCCTTCACAGATTGGTTGGGATCAGTTTGTCCAGATCTTCACCTGGGAATGATTGGTGGGAAATTCAATCGAGTTGTTTGCTCTAGCTTAGCACCTTCCTTCTGGATCACCAGGAGAGGCAGGACTCATAAACACTCAGTAAGCAAAGTTCCTGCAATGATTCTATCTCCCTTAATCTCCTTTCCTGTTAGTCACAGGACTGGATCTTAGAGCATTTCTCTTGTCTGAGGCACTAACGTCTCTCTGAGTGAACTCAAAACCTTGTGGTAAGTATCCAGCACAGCCTGAGCAGTGGGCCTTTCTGCAGGAGTCTGGCTCTTACATGCCTTATGAATGTCAAACAAATGGAAGCGGACCATATCACTCCCTTCCACATGTCCCAAAAGGAAACTCGAGACATCTGGAATCTTCCAAATATCAACCTTCTCATCATACGGTGGCATGAGGTCATCCTGAAAAGGCACGTCGTCCCCATAGGGCCATAACTGCTCTGGGGCCACAAAGTCTCCGTGGAGCTGCCTGTGGCCACACTTCACCAGTGTCCCAGAGCTGTGGTTCACCAGGGGCAGGGCATCCAGATCATTGGCCACAATGCTAAGGTTACTGGTCAGCAAATACTGGGACAGCGTCTTGGGCAAATCATTGGAGTCACACATGACCCGCGTGCCCATGGGGCTGCGGTGCAGGTAGTCAATGATACTCACATAAGCAATGGCCAGCTGCAGTCGTTGCAGCCACGTGTTCATGTGCTGGTACTTGGGAAGGTTCAGAGTCTCTTCCAAGTTGCTCAAGGAGCCTAAGGGGTGGTACTCAGTGAGGACAGTGTTGTCTTCCTCACAGTAGCCAAGCAGTGTGACAACGTGTTTGCTCTGTAGAGATTTGAGCATCTGAAGTCCATGCAGGAAATCCTCTTGCATCTCCAGACTGGTGAGGCGTGAGAGAGCAACTTTGCGTTCCTTCCACTCAGACAGAAAGACCTAGAACAAAACCACAGAGGACATCACACTGAAGGATTTACAGCCTCCATCAGTGACAGAAGCAGTTGCCATGATGCCCCAGATATGCAACCTGTATATGCCTCCACAGCTCCCCAAGAACAAGTCTTACGCCAGATGGGGTAACTGGTGAATTCTATCAAACCTTCAAATAAGATTTACTGCCTTTACTCCTTAAGCTCTTCCAAAATAACACACAGGGATCTTTCTTAACACCTTCCATGAAGTCAAGTTATACTAATGTCCAAAGCAGACAGAAACACTTCCAGAAAATATAATTTCAAACTAATGTCCCTGATGCATATTGATGCAAAAATCTTAACAAAATCCTAGCTAACTGAATCCATCAAAATATCAAAAGAATTATAAGCCCTAATCAAGTGGGATTCATTCCAGGGATGCAAGGATGGTTCAACATACACAAATCAGTTAACAAAACTGTAGACACATTAGTAAAAAGAAAGATAATAATCAGATGATCATATCAATGAATGCAGAGAAAGCCTTTGACAAGATTCAATATCCATTCATAATAAAAACCTCTAGAAAATAGGGGTGGAAGGAATCTTCCTCAATATAATGATGGCCCTCTATAACATGCCCACAGCCAGTGAAATACTTCGCTGTGTAGACAGTGAAGTCCTGTCTACAGCAAGCAAGCAAGAAAAACAAATCAAAGGAATCCAAATCGGAAAAGAAAAACTCAAATTATCACTATTTACAGATGACATGATGATATACATAAAAGACCCTAAAGAGTTCGTGAAAAGTTCATGAAAAGTTCCTAAGAACAATGAACCAATATAGCAAAGTAGTGACCCGGGTTCAATCCCCAGCATCCCATATGGTCTCCTGAGCATCACCAGGAGTAATTTCTGAGTGCACGAGCCAGGAGTAACACCTGTGTAATTCCGGGTGTGACTCAAAAAAAAAAAAAACAGCATCCTAAAACATCAAGTATCTAAGACGTGGGAGATCTAATACTGTAACTTTAAATCACTTAGGAAAGAGAAAAGAGTAGGCCTTAGGAAATGGAGAAAATATCCCAGGCGCATGGATCAGAAGAATCAATATTGTTAAAATGACTGCCCTACCTAAGCTATTATATAGATTCAATGCAATCCCCATCCAAATTCAGATGACATTCTTCAAGGACCTAGAAAAGTGAATAAAAGGTTTATATGGAAATCAGTAAAGACCATGAATTGCCAAAGTCACACTGAAAAATAAATAATTTTGGCACTGGAGCAGCTGGAGCAATAGTACAACAGGTAAGGTGTTTGTTTGCCTTGCATGTGGCCAACCTGGTGTTATACACAGGTTTGGGGTTTCCCATTCACAGAGAAACCAGTTCCACATGTGAGAATGCAAGAGCAAAGGACTTTCATTGCTAGCTCGAGCTAGTGTCCAAGTCTCATTCAACGCAGTGGAGTCTTGACAAGAACCCAAGCCCCTATTACAGCAGGATTTTATATCCTTAATAACATAAGCATTGTTAGCAGGCAACAACTTTGATGATGTAAGCATAGTCAGCAGGAGGTTATGCTTTGCGGGTTTTTCAGTACCAGGCTACAGAATAGGACAACAGGACATGTTGCTTACTGATTAAGCGGATAGGGATGCGGTGTGGGGGGTCTTTCCAGTAACTCTAACTACAAACTTCTGGGGAAACAGAAACACCAGTCTTCGGGAAACAGAAACTTTTGCCTACTGCTTGCTTTGCTGAAGTGCATCCTGTCATGGCTTCTTGTTCTGCCTCACTCTAGCCTTTCACCAGGTTCAATCCCTGGCATCCCATATTGTCCCCCAAGAACTGGCAGGAGTAATTTCTGAGTGCAGAGCCAGAAGTAACCCCTGAGCATCGCTGGGTGTGAACCAAAAAGAAAAAAAAAAGAAAAGAAATTGGGAGGTATTTTATTACCTGTTCAGAACTGTATTATAAAGCTATAGTGAACAAAACTACATAGTACTGGAATAAGATAGGCTCTTTGACCAACGGGTCAGAACTCAATACCCAGGAACAAAATCGCATATAGATAATTAATTTTTGATAAAGGAGCTGAGAACATGAAATGGAGTAACAATTATCCTCTTCAACAAATGGTGCTAAGAAAACAAGTAAGAAATTAAAACAGGATCCATAGCTCACACCTTATACAAAAGTCAATTCAAAGTGGATCAAAGACCTTGAGATCTGACCAGAAACTATAAAGAACAATGAGGAAATGTAGGCAGAACACTCCAAGACTTGATCTTAAAGATATCTTCCATGATCTGATACCACTGGCAAAAGTAACAAAATCAAAAATAAATAAATAAATATTCTTCACTGTCACTGTCCTCCCGTTGTTCATCAATTTGCTCCAGCGGGCCCAGTAACATTGTGAGACTTGTTACTATGTTTGGCATATCGAATACATCACGGGTAGCTTGCCAGGCTTTGCCTTGCAGGCGAGATACTCTTGGTATCTACAATGAATGATGAACGGAATCTTTCAAAAAACCAATTACTCTGTTTTCTGGTTTCACTTCATGGTTTTTTGCTTTGCTTCTGGTCATACCTAGCAATGGTCAGGGCTAACTCCGGGACCAGCACTCAGGGATCACTCCTGGGAGAGATCAGAGACAATTTGGGGTGCAGGAATCAAACCCAGATTGACCACAATCAAGGCAAGCACCCTACCCGCCTTACTCTCTTGGGCCTATTTTGACTTAATGCAAGTGCCTCTTCTCCTGTCTGACTCTTCCTTTAACATATCTTTTGGATGGAAGAGAGGCAACAGCAGGTCAGGCACTTGCCTCCACTATGCTGGAGAACACCTAATGGACTAACCTTCTGAGGAATGATGACTCCTCTACCTGGTGAACCACCCTTCCTTGGATGGTGCCTCAGCAGGAAGCTCAGAGGCTGCAGCCTGGGGGCCTGCACTCTCTGACATTCTCATCCCTACCGTCCCTGTGTTCCTCTCCCCCCCCTTTCCCTTGCAACTGCCCTCACACTTAGAGGAGGGGGAGCAGGTGTGGGCATGAAGTCCACATGCAGAAGAATAACACTGTCAGACTTCACTGCTGGGCTCCTCCCAAAATCCTTTTCTGTGAGGGGAAGGCAGGGAGGCTAAAGGCCTGGGTAAGGGTGAGGACTGTCCTTTACTTTCACAGCCTAGATTTCCCCAGCTGCCCCGGATGGCAGAGGTGGGCAGAAAAAGGGCAGATTCCCTCTCTCCAGGGGGTCTTTCTCCTCCCTACTTCATATGTCACCAGAGGAACCCACTGGCATCATTAACAATATCAAACAAGACCAAAAACCAGAGATTCGACTTTTATTTCCAGCTGGGGATCTCTGAGCCAGAAGAACGCAGTTAGGTGGGCATCACTCAGGGGCAGGTTTATCAGAGAGCTAGTTCTGAGAAAATGATCTTTTGTTTTCAGAGTAAAAGTCATCTCCTCATCATGTCTCTTTTGATTTCCCATCTTTTTTTTTTTTTTTTGCTTTCTGGGTCACAGGGGTTACTCCTGGCTCTGCATTCAGGAACTACTCCTGGTGGTGCTCAGGGGACCATATAGGATGCTGGTCAGGTTGGCCCTGTGCAAGGCAAATACCCTACCCGCTGTACTATCGCTCTAGCTCGTCCCCAAGTCTCTTTTAAGATGGGATATATATATCCATGATATAATATATATTCAGGATTTATATCTATCTATCTATCTATCTATCTATCTATCTATCTATCTATCTATACATCCATGTTCTGCTGTTTCACTTTATAATTTGTAGTCGTTCAAATTCTCTATAGCTCGTTAATAAATTTTGATTTTCTCCTCTTAATCTGTCTGATATTAATTTATTTACCTCCCCAGCATCTAAAGAACCTAGATGGGGTGGGGAAAATTTTTCTCTGCTTTCTAAAGTCTCTGAGAATAAAAGCTAGCAGTTTATCAAAAGGCCCATAGTTGCAGCCCCCTCCCCCACACTGCAAATCACTGGATACTTCTCACAAAGGAAGTGCGTCTGTCCACCCACCCTTAATTGCCTCTGGCCTCTATTTCGTCAGTAAATCTCCGTTGCCAAGGAAACCATAACCAGAGAACACAGAGCAATTCTGGTTGCCATGAGACAAGGGCTCTTGGAGCTTCTACCTGAGAACTAAATTTAACCCATCAGCTTTTCTTTAGAAAAAAATAAAACCCATTAGAACACCCTTATAGATTTGAAATATAGGATGAAGTTGCTTATAACTCTTCACTCTAGCATAATTTATCAGTTTCATATTTTCTATGTAATACATAAATCTTAGACTTGTGAAAATAGTATATATACCACAGTATATTTTGCCTTTTTTCATTTACCATCATAAAACATTTTTTATGCTGCTTATATTCTATATCAAGTGGACCATAACTAAACATTCCCTATTGCTTCTAACTTTCAATTCTTATAAAGCCAAGTGACATGCTTCTTTAGCCCACTGGCTGTTTTTCCTTCCATTAGATTATTTTACAATGACCAAGTCTCAGAAGGCTCAGTGGGTGAAGGGGAGACAGGTTAATGGCTATGCACACATGCTGGGTGGGAGCTGCTTTCTCACAGGGACACCCCCTGGCTTCACAGCAGTCACTTACCCTCTTCACAGCTCCTTCCCCCACACGCTTCAGCTGTCTCACTTCTGTCTTCAGCTCCTCACAGGACAGCCAGGGCGAGCAGTTTCTCATCTGTCCCATTCTGAAGGAACCAGGGGGGCAGAGACTGGAATCCACTACAGAGCGTTGAGGGGAAAGGAAGAGCCAGTTCAGGCCGAAGTAGAGCAGCACGTTCATGAGGGCCATGGCGAGGAGCAGCCCCACCATGGGGGGCACTTCTCTCTTTGGGGGGCCTCTTCTACCATCCTGGGATTTCTGCTCCATGTTGTCATTCTCTGGAATTTCCCCAAATATAAAATGAAACAACAGTCAACTTATTGCCATGAAGGTGTGACTACATGGCAGAACCAAAGGTGACAATGTCTCTCACCCGCCCTTGCCTGCATATGTGAAGGCCATCCTCACGCGCCAAGAACGTGTCTGCTCCTTGGAAGGGCCTCGAAAGCTCCATGCCATTTTTAAAAAGAAAAGACTATCCTTCAGCAGGAGTGAAAGGTGCATTTGGGGGGAAGAGGAGAGGCCCAGAGACCCCAGAAAGCAGTTGAGTGGAGAGCTGAGGGATCACTTAGAGGGCACAAGCCCCTTGCCAGTGGGCTAGACATGGGCACAGGCAGGAGGCCTGTGGCAGGAATGGGAATTGGTTGTGGAATGGCAGCAGGGTCAGGAGAAAAAGCTCATCTAGTTGAGGCAGAGGCTTCTTAGGCTACAAAACGGAAACTAAGGCTGGAGAAATGGTCCAGGGGTAAGGCACTTGCCTGGCACGCAGCTGACATAACACTAAAGTTCCCTAAGCTTAATAGGAGTGATTCCTAAGCACAAAGCAAGAGTAAAACCCAGGTACTGCCAGGTGTGACCCAACACACCCACGAGGTAAAAAGAAAAAAGAAACAAAAGGAAGGAACCTTTTTGACAAGGAGAGTGACTAGTATGTGCCAGCTGACTACCAGGTACATACACACTGACAGGAGACAGCTGATGAGAAGTCGTCCCCCATAACAAGACAACCATGGTTGGGGACCACCGGGCAAAAACAGTTTAGAGCTTAGAATAAAAACGGTTTGCAAATGTGCACCCAGGAAAGAACAGAACAGGTAATAGGCCAAGCAAAATTGCACCCAAGAAAGACTAGGAAATAGGCCATATTTTGAGAGAAAGACAAGCCCAAATGGGATAAGGGTTCTCTGAGATGACATAACCCGATCCACAGCAGTAACAGCTGTTGCCATCGACAGAATTGTGGGGATGAAACTGAGGGGGACCCAGAGGAGAATGAGTGCCCGCCGAGTGCTGGGGTAGGCCCACCGCCCATGGAGAGCGGGAGCCAGCCGCTGGACAGTGTCTTTGTTACATAACCCTCAAAGGGCCCACCACAGGTTTCGCCATGCTGGAACAATTGTTTCCTCACTGGCAAGCAGAAAGCACAAATGAGGATGGCTTCCTACTGAGTATTCTACGTTTAAATGGAATGTTTTACTTTTACAAATTTTAACAATGCCTCTTATTCGCCTATTTACTTTTACAAATTTTAACAATGCCTCTTATTCGCCTATACTCCATAGCGGAAGGTAAACTGCATCTTATAGTGAGTAAAATGAAACATTTACTTTTTTCTTCTCTTAAAACGCCTGTCTGCTAACCAAAATGTTATTTTTTCTCCCTCAGAGCTAGAAAAGCTGAAAATAATAATGCCTTATTATCCTGGGCTTACTTTTATTTGGCCATCATTTAATGTGTCCGTTTGGGTATACCAATGACGCAGAAGCAATGACGTGGGTCTCAGTGTGGGTCCACGGTTCCGGGTCCTTCAATTATTTTCAACAATGAAAATAGTGCATAATAAAAATGCTCAATTTTATTGAAAAGTGGAAGAGAAGGAAAAGGAACCCCAGGTGGGAAGGAATTTAGCAAAGGACTAAGGCTCCAGTTTTGTAGGGGCTGTTTTATTTTCTAATTGAATCACCATGAGATACGGAGTTACAAAGCTGTTCCTGCTCTGTTACTTGAGTTGTTATAGGAAAACAGTCTTTGTGTTACAGAGGTCTTTGTGTTGCAGGAAGATAGGGGTTTTGTGCAAGTCCTTTTAAATGAAAATTGGGCTCTTTGCATTTTCCCCCCCATTAACAAGAAAGTTACAGAGAATGCCAGGCTCTTAGCAAGTGGTCTGGGTTTTTGCCCATTAGCTTAAGCCTCCCACTAAGCCCAAACTAAGCCTAAACTAGCCGATGTTAAAAAGCCGCACAATTGCTGCTAACTTCCTATTAACTTCCTATTTATCAGAAAGAATCAGGAATTCGCAGAAAGTCAAAAATGTAGAACGGGGGCAGCCATAAATGGGACTGCTAACAGCAGCTGGGCAGGTGAAACTGAGCCTTCCTCTCTCCTAATAGAGGTGATTTTTTTTACCAAGTCCTATATGAAGCAGAGACAATTTCCTCTCTTTGACTGACCTCCACTGCAACCCTCATACACACTTGCTTCCTAAAGATACAACCAACCCATAGGTCATGCACATGTGTGTGAATATGCATGGTCACACTATGTGTGTGGTTAATTCGTCTGTCTGTCCTTACGCATGTACGTAGAATATATAAATGTTAAAGCTAAGATAGTATTATTGTAGCCTAAAATACAGAAAGTGAGAAAATTACTTTCTCATAGGTCTAATGCAAGTCCAATTAAAAATGAGTCTGTTTTACAAATAAATTAAATCAAGGAAAATGTTCTTTGTTTTCATAAATGTAATTTAAATGTTCTCATATATATATAATTGTATCTAAAAATTTGGTAATAACCAGACTTCCTTTTATGTTTAAATGTATATGTTTTGCTTTTAGAAATTTTCTACAAACTCAGGCTCATTGATTTTCACTACGGACTAAAGTATCTTTAGAAATCATGCTATGGGAATTCTTCTATCGACAAAAGGGTTAAATTTAACAAAAAATAATTTTTAAGGATGAATAATTCTTTTAATAGTAAAGTACTATAATTGTGAAATAGTGGATTACTATCGAGAAAAATTGAAATATATATTTAAATGATTAAAGTATTAAGTATTGAAAAACTGTTTAAGTATCTTTCAGGCCAAATCAACTCCTATTTATCAGTTCAATTTGTTAGCATTTCTAACAAATGAGAATTATATATTTATAATGAGAATAATACCATTCTTTAAAATGAGAATAATATCTTCGGAGGCAGCAATGAATTACACAAGAACAATGTCAAATCATAACAACCATTACAAAGAATTATTAAAATATCTAATCTTAAAATACTTATGGATTAAAAGAGTGAATAAAAAATAGTTTGAAAACTGACAATTTAGTCTAAAACATACTCATTTGGAATCCAAAATTTGGATATAAAGCTTTTCTATTAGCAGAGTTTAATTATCAGAACTGGCTCCTGTTATCAAAACAGGGAAATTTTGCCTGGTCCTTCAATATTTTTTGACTAATATAAAGTTAAAATACTTACTCTTATTAATAATTTCCACGTAATTTTATTTTGCAGAATTTTTAATTAAAGTGGGGTTGAAATAAAGTTGCTCTTACTAATTATTTCCAATTCTAGGATTCAGATTTCCAATGTGATTAAGAGGCAAAAGAGTAAAACAAAGCCTTGATATACTTAGGAATATTTGATCTGCGATTACTTCAATTTCTAGAGCTATTTAGCAAAAATATGTGCTATTTCAAATACCACCTTGGTAAACTTAAGTTATGGCATTGTAACTTAGATAGAGATGCAAGTTTTTATGCAGAGATGCATGCAAAAAGATTAATAATTGAAAATCTTTATTAACAAACAGATATCAGACTTTAGTATTAAGAATCCCAGGAAGAGAGTGAAAGGGGGAGGATTTTTTTTTTTTTTTTTTAAGAATCCCAGGAAGACTGAGAGTCGCTCTCACTCTCCCCTGCCCAGGAAAGCCTCCTCCCAAGTAGATGCACTTGTTGACCCCCCCTAAACAACAGCTATAGCACAGGGGGCTTTAAATCAGCCCAGCAAGTCTCCCCTGCTGGAGTCACTGAGGGAAAAAGAACCACTTTTTGCAAACCAAATTGTAAGTCAGTTTGTCTGGTAAAATAACTATCTCCAGGTCTGTCTATCTTGCTGCCAGGTGTTAAGTCAAAACTAAGAATAATGAATGCCTATAGGAGTATTTCCTGCAGCAACATGCGATAGCACAGCGGTAGGGCGTTTGCCTTGCACGCAGCCAACATGGCCCACCCAAGTTCGATTCCTCTGCCCCTCTCGGAGAGCCCGGCAAGCTACCGAGAGTATCTTGCCCGCACGGCAGAGCCTGGCAAGCTCCCCTTGACGTATTCGATATGCCAGACACAGTAACAACAAAGTCTCCAATGGAGACGTTACTGGGCCCGCTCGAGCAAATCGATGATCAATGGGAGGGCCTTTATTTATTTTATTTAACATACTATACAGACAGTGAAGGAAGACTATAAAATCAACTTGTTGGTGCTGAAGTTAGGCGTATCTGCATGCTGGAGTTTCATGGGAAGTATTTCTGCTTAAAGGTATTTTTAACATGTAATAGAACTAGTAATGTGGTATACTAAAATTAGAAACCTCAAAGACAATCTTAAATGTTGTTAATCTCTGGGTATTTTAAAAACTGTGAAAATTGCTTTAATACTTTAAGAATACCTTGCAGGGTTACAAATAGCCCATCTATATTACTCATAACAAGTCACGTTCTAAATTGCCCACAGAAATAAGAAACAATAATAATAATATTAATATATAACAATAATAAAACAAAAATAAGTAATAAGAAACAGAGGGCAGGCGAAAGCAGACCCAGCCCCTCTCCCCAGTTCCCTGCTTCCGCGACATCGACCTGGCCTCTGGAGTCCAAGCTGGAATGCACGGGCTGGGGTAATGATCCTATAGCAGGGGCATGGAGTTTGATCCCTTTAAACCATCAGGAGCAACTCCTGAGTGCAGAGCCGCTGAGCCAGGTGTGGCTCCCCAACAAAGATCACTGAAAGTGTTTGATGAATATAATTCATTTCTACTAAGGATTGTAGGGTATCCCTTGAGATAATTTAATGTCCCAGCAACATATAAATATGAGGCAGGCAGATTGACAGGGAAGGGACCTCAAGGCAATAATTCCTGGGAAACAATAAAACCAACAGCCCATGGCTGAGGAAGCCTACCTTGGGGATACGGGGACTGATAAGACCTTTATCTGACACCAGCACACACCGGAGCAGGCAGCGTCCCTGGAGAGAAGCTCCAGCAGAAC